TTAGCCAGGATGGTCTCGATATCCTGACCTCATGATCCGCCCACCTCGGCCTCCCAAAGTGCTGGGATTACAGGTGTGAGCCACTGCGCCCTGCTGATTGTTGCTTTAATTCTTACCAGTGCTCAGCATTTTTTTTAAGCCTTTATCATAAAGTCCAAATTTCTCAACCTCTTTGCAGTGCTTCTTGTGTCTTTACTCTGCCCCATCTTGCCCCACTCTCCCCTCATACTTCTTGCTCTAGCCGTGGTGGGATTTAAAAAAAAAAGAGACAAGAGTTTCACTCTGCCACCCAGGCTGGAGAGCAGTGGCGTGACCCTACCTCACTGCAGTCTCGAACTCCTGGCCTCAGGCTCCCAAAGTGCTGGAATTACAGGTGTGAGCCAGTGCACTCAGCAGTTAAATTCTTTAATTTTTTTTTTCTTTAGACAGGGTCTCATTCTGTTGCCCATAGTGGAGTACAGTGGCACCATCATGGCTCACCACAGCTGTGACCTCCCAGGCTCAAGCAATCCTTACACCTCAGTCTTCTGAATAGCTGGGACCACAGACGTGCATCACTGCACCCAGCTAATTTAAAAAAACAAATTTACTTTTGTAGAGATGGGGTCTCCTTATGTTGCCCAGGCTGGTCTTGAACTCCTGGCCTCAAGCAGTCCTCCTGCCTTGGCCCCCCAACTGGGATTACAGGTGTGAGCCACCACATCCAGCTAGATTTTTTTTTGGGGGGGGGACGGAGTCTCACTCTGTCCCCCAGGCTGGAGTGCAGTGGCGCGATCTCAGCTCACTGCAAGCTCCGCCTCCCGGATTCACGCCATTCTCCTGCCTCAGCCTCCTGAGCAGCTGGGATTACAGGCCACCGCCACCACGCCCAGCTAATTGTTTTGTATTTTTAGTAGAGACAGGGTTTCACTGTGTTAGCCAGGATGATCTCGATCTGACCTCGTGATCCACTGGCCTCGGCCTCCCAAAGTGCTGGGATTACAGGCGTGAGACACCGCGCCCGGCCCTGGCCCAAATTCTTTAAATCAAGAACTTGATTGATATTTTTGTGCATCACAACCAGGCCCAGGCCTTCCTGTCTGCCACTGCTAACTTATTTCCTTTGTCAGGTTTCAGCTTGAACCTCACCCCTGGCATTTTCTCTGACCATGTAGACTATGTTAGGGCCAATAACACATTTACACAATTTCTGTCACATGGTGTATCATTATTTGTAAGAACTTACTTGCTATCTACTTGAGTAGAACATAAACTTCATGAGATCAGAGACTATATTTATCTTCCTGTATATTCCTTACCTAGAACATGCCTGGCTTTCTAAATATTTGTTGAATAATTTGCCAATTTGATAGGTGAAAAATCATAATTTGTTTTGATTTGACTACTTTGATAACTAATGAACTTGAATATTTTTATCCTGTTGATTGGCCATCCCATCTTTACTTTTGAATTCTGCCTTTCACATGTTTTCCTGTGAGAGCACTGCCTTCTGCATGACAGTTTGTAGGAGCTTCTACCACATCGTGGACATTATCCCTGATGGAAGGTTTTCTCTAGTAACTCATTCATATTTTTCTTTAACAGATTCCGAGTTTGGGACCAAGAAGGAACTATCTATTTTAAACCAAAAATTTTCCGAAGAAGTAAAAACCCCAGAATTTGTATCAAGAAGTCTCTTAAGGGATAATGCACAGGCAGCTGAGTTTCGGGAAGCATGGGGCCGTGAGGGTAAACTCGAAGAGCACCTGGGAAATTCTGCCGGGCAGAGTTTGAACAAACCCAATATTCACAAGAGAGTTTTAACAGAAGCTACCATGGGTAGGGAAAGATCTTTGGGAAAAAGACCCCAAGAGGGTAGTGCATTCGATAGAAACTTGAATCTGAACCAAAATGTTGTTAGACTTCAAAGAAATAAAACAGGAGAGAGGGTCTTTAAATGTGATATATGCAGCAAAACCTTCAAATACAATTCAGACCTAAGTAGACATCAGAGAAGTCACACTGGGGAGAAGCCATACCAATGTGGCCGGTGTGGACGAGCCTTTACTCACAGCTCAAATCTTGTTCTGCACCATCACATTCACACTGGAAATAAACCATTTAAATGTGATGAATGTGGGAAAACTTTTGGACTCAATTCTCACCTCCGTCTTCATCGGAGAATTCACACTGGAGAAAAACCCTTTGGCTGTGGTGAGTGTGGGAAGGCTTTCAGTCGAAGCTCAACTCTTATTCAACATCGGATAATTCACACAGGAGAGAAACCCTACAAGTGTAATGAATGTGGTAGAGGCTTTAGCCAGAGCCCCCAGTTAACTCAGCATCAGAGAATTCACACTGGAGAGAAGCCGCATGAATGCAGGCACTGTGGGAAGGCCTTCAGTCGAAGTTCCAGCCTTATTCAGCATGAGAGAATTCACACTGGAGAGAAGCCCCATAAATGCAATCAGTGTGGGAAGGCCTTCAGTCAGAGCTCAAGCCTTTTCCTCCATCATCGGGTTCATACTGGAGAGAAACCCTATGTATGTAATGAATGCGGTAGAGCCTTTGGTTTTAACTCTCATCTTACTGAACATGTAAGGATTCACACAGGAGAAAAACCCTATGTTTGTAATGAGTGCGGCAAAGCCTTTCGTCGGAGTTCCACTCTTGTTCAGCATCGAAGAGTTCACACTGGGGAGAAGCCCTACCAATGCGTTGAATGTGGGAAAGCTTTCAGCCAGAGCTCCCAACTCACCCTACATCAGCGAGTTCACACTGGAGAGAAGCCCTATGAATGTGGTGACTGTGGGAAGGCCTTCAGCCGGAGGTCAACCCTCATTCAGCATCAGAAAATTCACAGTGGAGAGACTCGCAAGTGCAGAAAACGTGGTCCAGCCTTTGTTCATGGCTCTAGCCTTACACCAGATGGACAGATTCCCACTGGAGAGAAGCACAGCAGAGCCTTTAGCCATGGTGCAAATCTCATTCTGCGCTGGACAGTTCACACTGGTGAGAAATCCTTTGGATGTAATGAATATGGAAAAGCTTTCAGTCCCACCTCACAACCCACGGAAGATCAGAAAATGCATGCTGGGGAAAAGCCCTATAAATGTCAAGAATGTGGAAATGCCTTCAGTGGAAATTCAGCCCTTATTCGACATCAGGTAACTCACACTGGTGGGAAACCCTGTCATTGCAGTGTGTGTGGGAAAGCCTTCAGCCAGAGTTCACAGCTCACACCACCTCAGCAGACTCATGTTGGAGAGAAACCTGCTTTAAATGATGGATCTAAAAGATACTTTATTCAAATCAAAAAGATTTTCCAAGAAAGACATTTTTAAAATGATAAATGCAGAAGACAATTTAGCAACTGTTCACTTTACATTAGAAGATAAGATGGCATAATGAAAGATAAATAAGGTCTAAATATTCCTGGCAAAGTAAAATAAATAGTTCAGATGACTACTAAAAGTCATTTAAAGTCATTAAATCTGGGAGTAAACACAAGAGAATTCATTCTGGGAAATCAGGCTGTCTGTGTAAAGGCTACTGCCGTGCTCAGGAGTTGAACCGTGTGGTGCTGTGTCCGGATACTCATGATGAATGGATGGAGGGTGTGAAAAATGAGCCCAGCTGGTGCTCTGGGTCTACCCTGCCTGACATCCTTCCAGTCTTATCCTTTGTTTCCTATCCAGGCCCAGGCTTGTGGCTGAGAACATCCACTTTCAGTCCCATACATCTGCCTCCAGGCAGAGAACTTGCGCCTGCTGGTGGGGCTTAGCCTTATTCCTTCCACCACCTCTCCCACCAGCCCGCAGAGGAACTGCAGGTAGACGTTTCCTCCTTGCTTGGAGCCCCAGTTTTTGCATTTCATTTTCATTAAAATGGAAGTTAGTTTGGTTTTGGTTCTAAGGAACTCTACAGTTTAGCAGAGAGAGGGACCTCAGGGGCCAAGAAAGCAGGGGCCTACCAAGTATCTCCACTTTTGAAAATTATAATTACTGATAAAAAAAAATTTTTAAGGCAGGTTTATTGAAGCATAATTTATAAATAATAAAATTTTTTTAGTGTATAGTTCTGTGGGCTTTGACAAAAGCAAACAATTGTGCCACCACCACATTCCAGATACTGAACATCTTCACCACCACCCAGAATTCCTTTGTGCACTCTTGTGGTCAACCCCTCCTCAACCCCAGTCTGTGGAAACCACTGGTTTGTTTTCTGTCCATCGCCTCACCGTTTCCAGGATTGCAGTGTGCAGCTGTTTGCGTGTGGCTTCACTGAACGTGATGCATTGGAGTCATCCACATTGCCTGTGTAGACTGCTTTTTTACACCAAGTAGCATTCCATTGTATGGACGGAGCCATTTGTTTATCCGTTCCCGCATGGAAGGGTATTTGGGCATTTTCACTATGGGCAACTATGATTAAAGCTGCCATAACTGTGTATCAACTACAGGCTGTTTTGTGAATCTAACTTTTCAGTTATCTTGGGTAAACAGGACTGGGATTGCTGGGTCACATGGTAAGCTTATGTTTTACATTTTAAGAAACTGCCAAACTGTTTTACAAAGTCAGTTGTGCATCCCACTGACGATGTGAGTTTAGTTGCTTTGAATCCTCACCAGATCCTGGTATTGTACTTTTTTTTTTTTTTTTAGACAGAGTTTTGCTCTTGTTGCCCAAGCTGGAGTGCAATGGCACGATCTTGGCTCACCACAACCTCCACCTCCTGGGTTCAATTCTAGCGATTCTCCTGCCTCAGCCTCCTGAGTACCTGGGATTAAAGGCATGCGCCACCACGCCTGGCTAATTTTGTATTTTTAGTAGAGATGGGGTTTCTCTATGTTGGTCAGGCTGGTCTTGAACTCCCGACCTCAGGTGATCTGCCCACCTCAGCCTCCCAAAGCGCTGGGATTACAGGTGTGAGCCAATGCACCCAGCAGTATTGTTCATTTTTTAATATTCTAGCTATTTTAGTGGTGATGTAGTGGTATCCATGGTTTTAATTTGCATTCTCCTATTGACCATGGTTGGATCAGTAAGCATCTATTTAAAGAGTTTCATTGGGAAGTTTGAATAACACTGTAGTAGTTAGTTTCTCAGTGTGATCACCTCTGAAATTCTGATAATCAATTCTTTTTTTTCTTCTTCTTCTTTTTTTTGAAACAAAGTCTTGCACTGTTGCCCAGGCTGGAGTGCAGTGAAGTGATCTCGACTCACTGCAACCTCCACCTCCCAGGTTCAAACAATTCTCCTGCCTCAGCCTCCCGAGTAGTGGAACTACAGGCACGCACCACCATGCCCAGCTAATTTTTGTATTTTCTTAGAGACGGGGTTTCACCATGTTGGCCAGGATGGTCTCAAACTCCTGACCTCGTAATCCACCCACCTCGGCCTCCCAAAGTGCTAGGATTACAGGCGTGAGCCACTGCGCCTGGCCTCTGATTTTCAATTCTGAGACTCTACCTGCAAGAATCTTTTTTCAAATCTACTCTTCATTCCCTCCAGGTCTAACTGAGACATTTCCCCCCTACAAGGAGCCTTCCTTAATCTCTCATTTCATCTTTGTTTTTTTTTCTTTTGAGAGTGTCTCACTCTATCACCCAGGTTGGAGTGCAGTGAAGCGATCACAGGTCACTGCAGCCTTGACTTCCTGGGCTCAAGGGATCCTCTGACCTCAGCTCCCAAGTAACTGGGACTACAGGAACACATCACCATACCCAGATAATTTTAATTTTTTGTAAAGATGGTGTCGCACCATGTTGCCCACGCTGGTCTTGAACTCTTGGGGTCAAGCGATCCACCTACCTTGGCCTCCCAAAGTGCGGGCCTTACAGGCGTGAGCCACTGTGCCTGGCCCTACTGTTTTCCTAGGGAATTTGGAGTCACTGCTGCATTTGGTTTAACATCCATTCTGTGATTTGCTGCACTTATTCCCCCTGCTTAGGTTCTGTCTCCCCCACTTTATTATTAAAATTCTTATCACAGAACCTCTTCCAAGTGTGAGAATTGCCAGCCTTAGTGTGGTCCATGTGGAATGGTCCACACAAAAGAGGGAGTGGATAGCACAGGCTCGCCTGGAGGGTCCTATCTCCCTCTGCAATGGATTCATTCTGACCTCAGGGAAAACACTGAATCTTCTTGGGTCTCTTTTTCTCCAACTCTAAAATGGGGGGGGGGGGAACAACTCCCCCACTTGTAAAAAAAATTACTCTCTTTACTCTTGTATCCCATAGCACAACATTCATATCCCCACCATTTCAACTCACATTTGCCTTTCTACCTGGTTACCCTGCATTCCACGGAGAGCTCTCTGCTGTCAGAGACGTCGCCTTACGTGCCTTTTTATCTCCAGCACAGGTGCTTAGGATGTACTTAGGATGATACAGAACAGGTGCTTAGGATGTACTTGGGAAGGAAAGAAGAGAGGTGACAGCAGGAGAGAAAGGAAATAGTGCCAAGAATGTGCTTTGTGTAAATGTGAACCTTGTGTTCTGCTTATGCTCTGTTCATGAGCAGACTGGCTACATTAAAACTGTTTTCCCCTTCTAATCTACTGGAAGGCTCCCACAATGATGCCTCCCTTAAGAGGCCCACAGGTCTCACATTTATGTAGAACGTAAGGAAGCACCGGGGCATAGGAGGGCTCCTGTGTGGCTCCAACAGCTGTTTTGACACGTACTTGCTGTGGACCCTGGGACTGAGGATGTTAGAAGGAAAATTCATGGTTAAACACTAAGAGAGTGAGGGAACACCTCAGCGGCTAAACATGAAGACTGAAATGAAAGTCAGAGCTTCCCACCTGGAAACTGATGCTAGGACAGCTCTGGGGCCCGTTTATAGCCCCCATGAAGACAGTGAGGCCTGGGTGGCTTGAGGGTGATGGTTGGAACCTAGGACCCTATCTAAAGGATTGAACCCCCTGTATAAAGACAGACTAGGAAAAAATCCACCTGCGCATAGGGAGATGCTGGGCAGTCTCTATAAATTTAGGAGATGGAGATGGAGCTGGAGTCCTGGGAGCCCAAGGTGACTAGAAGTCAAAGAAGCAGAAGAAAACTGTAACACAACAGAAGTAAATATCCTCAAGCAAGCATCTGGAGATACTAAAACGTCTAGAATCAGATATTTTAAAACTAAGAAAAAAAGTGTCTCGTCCTATATTCTGCACCCCCAAAAAGAAACAGGAAGAAATACAGGAAGATATGGAACATAGGTAGGAGATTACAGACAAAATGACTCTTTCAAGCCTACTTCTAAATGGTTAAAAAAAAATGAAAGAGAAATAATATAGCAACAGTTAAGAACTGGTGAGTCTGAGTTAAGATTATTTGGGAGTTCTCTGCATTATTGCAACTTTTCTTTAAGTTTGAGATTATTTCAAAATAAAAAGCTCAGGGAGACTGGGCATGGTGGCTCATGCCTGTAATCCCAGCACTTTGGGAGGCTGAGGCAGGTGGATCATGAGGTCAGGAGATTGAGACCATCCTGGCTAACACAGTGAAGGCAGAGTGGATCAATTGAGGTCAGGAGATTGAGGACATCCTGGCTAACCACAGTGAAAACCCCGTCTCTACTAAAAAACCACAAAAAATTAGCTGGGCATAGGTAGCGGGTCACCTGTAGGCCGAGCTACTTCAGGGGAGCTGAGGCAGGAGAAATGGGCCATGACACCCAGGGAGGTGAGCTTGCAGTGAGTTGAGATTGTGGCCACTGACTCCAGCCCTTGGGGCAACGAGGCCGAGACTCCGTCTCCAAAAAAAAAAAAAAAAAAAGCCTCAGGGGAGTGTTGGTTAAGAGGATACCAAATTTCCTTTGTGGGTCGCAGTGGAGGAAGTACATAGGGAGGAATAAGTGTTCCAACGAAATTACTGTACAACATGGTGCTATTGATTAATAACCAATGTAGTTACTCATCAAAACTGCCGAGAGGTTTTTTCTCACCACAAAAAACGTATATGTAAGGTACTGATGATTGCTGAATTAGCTCCAATTTAGCCATCCTTCAGCAATGTATAACATATTTCAAAACATGTTGTACATGATACATACATACGTTATCTTCTTTGTCAGGTTTCAAAATTAAATAAAACTTAGAAAAGCTTAGGGCCGGGCATGGTGGCTCACGCGCCTGTAAACTCAGCAACTTTGGAGAGGCTAGAGGTGGGTGATCCACCTGAGGTCAGTTCAAGGACCAGCCTGGCCAAACATGGCGCAAAACCCCATCGCGTGACTAAAATTACTGTCCTTCAACTTCTATTACTCAGAGCGTTTAAGAAAAATTCAGTCTATTACTAGGTCCAGTCTGTTATTAATTATAAACTTTTTGTCAAATAAATCTATTGCTAACTTTCATTATTATTAAATTAAAAAAGGCGGGCGCGGGCTTGGCTCAAGTGGTGAATCCCAGCACTTTGGGAGGCCGAGGTACGGGGCGGATCAGCCGAGTCAGGGAGATCGGAGACCCATCGTCCTGGCTAACACGGGGGAAACTCGCGGTTCTCTAACGTTAAAATACAAAAAAACTAGCGGGCATGGAACTGGTTGAGCGGGCGCCTAATAGGTCCCAGGCTCTCGGTGAGGCTGGGCATGGAGAATGGGCGTGAACCCGGGAGGCCCGGAGCTTGCAGTGAGCTGAGATCCAGCCACTGCACTCCAGGACCTGGCGACAGAGCGAGATCTGCCTGCCAAATAAAATAATTAAATAAATAAAATAAATAAATAAAAAATTAGGCCTGGGTATAGTGGCTTATATCTGTAATCCAGTACTTTGGGAAGCCGAGGGCG